TTTTCTTTCTGGGCAGCACGAATGCACCATAACAAAAAAAAAAAAAAAAAAAAAAACAACTCTCCAAAAAAGAAAAAAAACTAGTAAGTTCTTCAATAAGTTAAACATAGACTTGCCATGTGACCCACTGATTCTGCTCCTGGGAGAGTCAAAAGAATTGAAAACAGGTGTTCACACAAATATTTGTACAAATGGTCATGGAAGCACTGTTCACAACAGAAAAAAAGTGAAAACAACTCATATATATATATATCAGTAAATGAACAAATAAAATATGGTCTACTTACACAATGGAATACTGTTTAGGCATAAAGAGGAATAAAGCACTATTACATGCAATGATATGGACAAACTTTGAAAACATCATGCTAAGCAAAAGAAGTCAAACTTAAAAGGCCACATTTTGTATAATTCCATTTATATGAAATATCTATAGGTGGTAAATCTAGACAGACATGAGGCAGATGGGGAGCCAAGATCTGGGGAGATCTGGGGAGAAGAGGGAGCAACTGTTTAATAGGTGCAGTTTCCTTTTGGGGTGATGACATGTTCTGGAATTAGCAGCAATGGTTCTAAATCTCACTACTCTTAAATTGTATATTATGAGTACTCTCACAATAAAATAAATACTAAGAGCATATAATTAAATTTTTAAATGAAGCTTTTTTAGTTATTCTAAAAGGTTATGACTTTTCTTGCTACCAAACTGTTTTTAAATAATTTCTTTGTGGTACTTCTTGAAATTAGTGTACCAGGATCATGAGGTTAATGTATAATAATAATGAGATACTAGAGATAATAATACTAGTGAAATAATACAGGTAATGCTGTATTCCAGGAGTTTTGAAAGTGTGATCTGAGGACTGGGGGATTTCTAAGAGCCTTTCAGGGAGTCCCTGAGGTTCTCACGATTTCTTTTTCTTTTTTTGGAGAGGTTTTCGCTATAGGGCGCGTGCACTCGCCAGACAGAGCGAGACAGAGACAGAAAGCGAGAAATCACACCCCAGGGGGGATGGTCATGCCGCAATCCCTTCTCCTCCATTCTCCTCTTGGGATCTTGGGCACGCACGCACATGCGCCCGGTGTGAGTTCTAAGCCACTGGGTCCGGGACATGAACCACGGTCGACTACGTGGGAGTCCAGCGACATAGCTGTTACGCTAACTGCTGGTTCCCTCTCACGATTTTCTTTTTATATTTAAACCCAAACAATATATTGCCAAAGGGTGACTATGGAAGCAGATGTAAGAATGTAACTGTCTTTTTTTTTATTTAAGCCAAACTTGAAAGAGATTTGCAAAAATGTAAGACAATACTGTTCATTCCAATTAAATTTTTATTTGTTTTGGGAAAGTATTTTTCATAAAATAATGTCATTTATGTTAAAATGCAATAGATTTTTTTTACTAATACTTAAATACTTTTTAAAAAGAATTATTTATTGAATTTTATTTATTATTATTATTACTATTATTTTTATTTGACCAGAGAGAGACAGAGAAAGGGGAAGGGAGAGTGAAAAAGCAAGCCACCAGATCTGGGACTCAAATATCAGTCAGCCATGTGGGAGTCCAGCACCTTAACCACCATGCTATCTGCTGGCCCCAAGGAACCCATGGAAATGGCAGATAAAGAATTTAAAATATGCATAGTGACAAAACTAACAGAGATGCAAGAGAAGAGAGACAACAAACTCCAGAAGATGCAGGAGAAGTGACACCAAATTCCAGGAGGTGAGGAAGTTCTTCCATGGTCTGAAAGAGGAGATACACATCATAAAAAGTCATCAAACAGAATTGTTAGAGATCCTCCATTCTCCTCTCAGGATTTTAGAAATGTGCACACATGCACCAGGTGTGGTTTTTTCATTTTAATTTTTCTTTTGAGGGTTTTTTTCCTATAAGGCACGTGTACTTGCCGGAGAGACAGACAGAAAGTGAAAAATCATCCCTCAGGGTGCATGTCCATGCTTCGATCCCTTTTCCTCCATCCTCCTCTAGGATTCTGGACACACACGCACACATGCCTGTACTAAGTTTAAGCCACTGAGTCTGGGACTTGAACCATAGTCAACTACATGGGAGTCCAGCAACATAACCATTATGCCATCTGCTATTCCCAAAAGCTATGATTTATTTTTTAAAGAATTATTTTATTTTAACTTTATTTATTATTATTTTCCAATTTGACCAGAGACAGAAAGAGAGAGAGGGAAGTGGGAAAAGGAAGTCATCAGGTTTGAGATTTGAACCATGGTTGGCCACGTGGGAGCCTTTAACCACCACAGCACCTGCCAGTCCCCAAAGCTCTAATTTTTAGGAGTGAAGGGACCAGCAAATGGCTTAATGGCTACGCCGATGGACTACCATGTAGTCGATCGACTCTAATTTTTAGGAGTGAAGGGACGAGCAAATGGCGTAATGGCTACGCCTCTGGACTCCCATGTAGTCAATCGCAGTTCAAATCCCAGACCCAGTGGCTTACAAAACACTGGGTGCATGCGCATGCGTGCCAAAGATCCCGAAAGGAGAATGGAGGAGAAGGGATTGTGGCATGGCCATCCCCCCTGCGGGGGGATTTCTCACTTTCTGACTCTCTGTCTCTCTCTGTCTTTCTGGAGAGCGCACACGCGCCCTATAGCAAAAGCCTCTCCAAAAAAACCTGAGAACCACTGACTCAGAAATTAAATAATATTAATATTGGATGACATATTAGAATTAAAAGAGTAATTGTTTTCCAAATGTACTTACATTGTCTTCATCGAGTAACTTATTAATTACACACTCAAAGACACTCATCCACTGCTCCTTCAGGAAACACCTACTAAATACTTAATTTGCATAGGTCCTGAACTATGCAAATTAAGCTGGTGACATAGAGAAAAAATTAGAAACCTGATGTGACCGTGGCCGGCACGAACATTTGCTGGAACTGAAGGCATAGATGAAGGGCTAGTCTCAGTTACTCCAGGTCATGTATCTTTTGTGACTAGCTGTCCCCTGAGATGCCACCGGACTAGAGGGAGTAAATGGGGCAGCATTACTGTGTATAACAGTACAAGTCACCATTTTTTCAAGGGTTCAAGGTGATCTAAGAGATAAGTTTCTTTCTTTCTAGTTTGCTGTAAAGCATGTACACTCACCAAAAAGGGAGAGAGAGAGAAAGAGAGAGGGAGCACACCCTCCAGGGGATGGCCATGCCTCAATTCTTTCTCCTCCATTCTCTTCTTGGGATTTTGAGTGTGCACACACACATGACTGGCATGCTTTTCAAGCTGGGACTTAAACCAGATGATTGGCCACGTGGGATCCAATTGCCTTAGCCACCATACTACCTGGCTGGCTCAGAGATAAGTTTCTTATGGTACAACTAGCCTACTTTGAGGAAGAAGTGTCTACGGTCAGAACAGCAACTAAAATACACCAAGCAAAAAAATTTTACCCTTACTATTGAAAAACAATTTCCAGAAAAATTGCAGCCTACTTTTGAGGAGTTGCCAGAATTGACCTTCCTTTTTTTTTTTTTTTTTTTTTTTTTTTTTTTTTTTTTTTTT